AATCTGGGAAATTTAGCAAATTCCTGTCTTAAAATTCAAATAAACAAACAAAACCAAACCTGTCTTTCACAGATAACTATTATTTCTTCTTTCTCTCTTCCTTCTCATGCAGTAGGAGTGACCCCACGGCCTCCCACAGATGCGAATGAGTGTTCTCCCACCGTGCTATAGCCTTAGGCTCCAGATTTCCTCTAGTTCCCAAACAACGTTCCCTCCTGGACCCCAAGAGCCATTACTGTCTGAGTAAGTTTACTTGATTCATCATATTCTGCCTTTAGTCCCGAAGAATTAACTATCTACACTTACAAATATTTCCATTTATTTGGGGTCTTGTTATAGATCAACTCTCATCTGAGGGAAACGGCCACATCCTGTTTTGAGTGACAGGCTCTAAAGCTCATGCACAGGTCTGATTAACGGTGCACCTTTCCGTTGTTTATTTTTATATCCTTGTGCTTCCTGGAGCCTGGGCCTGCCTTGTTTCAGCCTCTCTCTCTGTTGACAGGGATCCAGTTCCGGATTTCATTCAAGGCTGAGGGCCACTGCTTATGACCACTGGAGAATCAGTGAACCTAGGCATTAGGAAGCAAACCCTGCACACACATCAGAAAGTGAGGGTGGGATGAGGGCTTTGTCCCTGGCTCATGTCCATGCCACCTCTCCGTCCCCGGCTGAGGAAAATGTCACTTCTGCACCCGATCCACAGTCTTCATGAGCCTGGGTGACCACAGAGGCAGGCACACAACACACTGGCTTCATGAGAGGTACCTTTATTACAAGCTGACGTGAGCAGTCAGGCACTCCTCAGCAGGTAACACAACAGAAATATAAGATGAGACAGTCCTGTGAACCCAGAGAGCAGCCGCCCGGGTCCGTGACCATGCATGACTGTCTGCCCTGGCCTGTCTCCTGAGGTGCACTCCCTACAGAGTCTGGGCCAGAGCGCTGCTCCTGAGAACCTCAGTGCCCCTGCATGAGTCTTCTCTACCACACCCTACCATCTCCACATTCAGACACAGACAGGAAGGGAAGAAGAGGGCACAGCTATTCCTGCTTTAAAGACATCTGGTCAGAGATAGTGGGGATGGTGGCATCTAGTGTTTCATAGCTCCCTTCAGAGGAGTCTGACACAGGAGCCTTTTGGTGGGTTTTGGCATGGGAGTCCTCTATGAAGGCTCCTCCCAGTTCATCCTCCTTCAAGATGGGCAGTGTGGTTTCTGAGGAAGGCTCCCTGATGGGTGTTTGAATGTGTTGAAAGCTCCCAGTGAGCATTAGTGGTTTAACTGTGTTCTTGAATGGCACTGGTCTCTCCTTAGGGGCCTGGGCAAAATGGGAGGTGCCTGAGGGGTTCTTCCCACTCCTGGCTGAGCTTTCATAGTGGACTGCTGGGGCCCACAGGCTTCTTACTGCTTGGGCAGAAAGCTTTTTAGGTAGGTGTGAAGCTCCTTGAATCTCAGATTCTCCTTTTGGGAGGTTTTTGCTCTCAATATCTGTGGGATAGAAAAGACACAAATACGGATTCCTCAAAAGTCACTTCTCTCAAATCCCTGCCAGAACGATATGGCACCCAAGCCATTGCTCAGTGATAGCTCCTCTCCCTCTAGACTGTAGGGAGTTCCTTATGATCCTACAGCTGAGCGTGGGGGCAGGGCTTTGCAAGTCTCTAGCTTACCATGGAAGGCCACAGAAGGGGAGGACCAGCTTTTGCTCAGAGCTCGTGTTTCATAACCTTTAGTTATAAATCTATTTAAATTAAAAATACATTCTCCATTAGAATCCCAACTCGTTTGTTTGTTTGCTTGCTTGCTTGCTTGCTTGTTTAAGACCAAGTCTCACTTTGTAGCCCAGGCAGGCTTGGAATTCTTTATGTAACCTAGGCTGGTCTTGAATTTATGGCAATCCTCCTACCTCACAGCTCAAGTATAGGGATTACAGGTATGAACCATCATGCTGACTATGAGAGAAGCTTTTTTTTTTAAAAAAAAAAATTTCTTGGTGATTCTTTTTCGACTAAAATTTGGCATATTATGTGAAAATTTATCTCATGATACCATTTTCTGTGTTGTATGTAACATAGTATTGAAAACATATACATTAAGAGCTGGAGAGATGGTTTGGCGTCTATGAGCTCTAGTTTTGCTTATAGAGGACCTGGGTTGCATTGCTATCACCCACAGAACAGATCACAACTGTCCATGACTGCAGTTCCCGGAGCTCCAACACCCTCTTCTGACTCACATGCTGTACTGAAAATACATGCATGCAAAACATATACATAAATCCAAAAAAATTTAAATACACACATATAAGAGAAACTTTTCAAAGACAGAGCTCTAACTTGCCATTACCTGCGCATGCTTCAAAGTGTATGTCACCAAAGTAATGCCAGAAAAATAAATTTTGTTTTGTTAATTGGAAAACACAGGCAGTAGAGACTTACAATAAAGGAGCGAGGAGATTGAGACTAAGGCCACCGAGGAGACACCGTGAGTCCAGACAGTCTGTAAAAGCACAAGACCGTGTCCAGATCTAGGTGTTTGCCCTGTGGTGGTGACGGTGCCAGCACCCAGAAGGTCAGTTTGCAAGACAGGAAGCCCAGGGTTTGGACGGGTTAGACGGGATTTCTGCCTGCCCATATTCAGTCTGGAGAGAACAGCGGCACACATGGGTTTTGCTTTTCGAGCCTCTGAGATATTTACATTCATGCATTTCACAAAATGCTAATAACATTATACATTAAAAGTGAACATCATCCACAGTTTGTCAGTGGAGGCACGATGTGAAACCACTGAGGAGAAGAGACCTCTGCATTAACCCAGAATGAGGAAGGCCAGGAAGTGTGAGACATTTGGCCAGCAGCTCTCAAATTGTCATCGAGGGGTTTTTGGAAGCCCTGGGGACTTTTATAAGGGGAGCTCTTCAACCATCTTTCACAATAACACTACTGCTGTCTGTCATCTTTTTACATCTGCCTCATGCCCAGTGGCATTCCCAGAGGCCGCACCACAGGTGAGGCAAGAGACAGAGAGTTCGGAAACAGACGTGAGACTTTTTGTCATTTTCTAGATGCTTAGATTTTGAGAAATGTAGAAGACCACTACATTCCTCTCCACATGCTTTTCCAAAAGCTGATACACCACAAAAACCTTTCAAATTATTTTGAAATGAATCTGTAAACACTTTACATTTACAATACGGTAAATAACAGTAGATATTAGATACTCTAGAAAACGGGAAAACATGATCGGCATCCAGAAGCATCAGGTAATAGAAGAGGATGCAGAGCCAACAGGTGAGAGAGCCAGCAAAAAAGAGAATAAAACCATTACAACTGTGTTCATATTTTGTTGTTGTTTTGAGACAGTGTCTCACATACCCAAGTGGACTCTGAACTCACTCCGTAGCTGAGGATGACCTTAATTCTGCCTCCTCCTCCCAAGTACTGGGATTGCAGGTGTTTGCCACTACCGCTGGCCATGTTCAGATATAAATGAAACTACATGCAGGAAGGGAGAAAGGGGAACATATCTGCTCATATACACATATGCATGTATATGCATACATGCCACCAAGAGGGCTCAGGAGGTAAAGCCATCTGCTGACTTGCGTGTAAGTCTAGGGACACACATGGGGAAGGAGAAACACAAGTCTAGTGAGCGTCTCCTATGTGCCATGGCATGCCACCACCAAAACAGAACGTGTAGATATCAAACACACATTTGGAAACTTCAGTGGTTAAAATTCCCTAGTAAGATATTACAAGTATCAAGAATGTCAGGGCAGAGCTCCAGCGTAGCTTGAGATCGAATTCTACGATAGCTTCCAAGTTTCCCAACATTCGAGTGTCACGAGGCCGGTAACTACACAATAGGATGCCCCCTTGATTCTGTGTATGTAAAGGCAGTAGGGGAGTCGCTCCTATGAGTTCTTTACAAGGTGTGAGATTGTCGCAACAGACTGAAGAGAATTCTCTCGTCTGTAAGGAAGTAAGCTCATGGGTCATTTGGCTAGAAGCTGGATGTGGCCTCCAGGAGCTCAGACACAAGATGACTAGAGTCCTGTAACTGTAAGGAACTAAATATGTACACTATTTTAAGATTTGAGATAACTTTTTACATAGCAATAAGACACCAACGTGCCGGGGCAGTGGTGGCGCACACCTTTAATCCAAGCACTCAGGAAGCAGAGGCAGGTGGAGCTTGAGGCCAACCTGGTCTGCAGAGCAAGTTCCAGGGCAACCAAGAAGGAGGCTACACAGAGAAACCCTGTCTCAAAAGACCAAAAGAAAAAAAGAAATGAAATGAAAGAAATTAATGCATATGGCATAGAATTTATCCTGAATAAAACACATTTAAATAGGTTAAAACTAAAAATTAACAGTCTCTAAAAATCTATGTAACTGGGATCAGAACCTGTGCAGAGGAGGGGAAACAGGTTTTTGAAAAAAATGTAGACTGAAAATCTGCCCAATCTGATAAAAAACTATACTGATAGTTATAAAATTTTCAGGAAACCCTAAGTAGGATACAAATCTGTATTTGCATGTGTGTCCTCCATATAGAGATTAATTATAGTCTAATTTTCAAAAATCAATCACAAGAGGAACAATTTCAAAAACCAGTTAGATGAAGAAAATAGGCATGTCACCCTACAGCCTGACTACATCAGTAACCAGAACACCCTACAGCCTG